CCACCATCAATCCCGCCCAGCAAGCCAAAGTCCTTGGAGTCATTCTGGACTCAAACCTTTCCTTTCAACCTCATGTCAAATCACTGACAAACATATGCAGGCTCCACCTCCGGAACATCGCCAAGATACGCTCCTTCCTTACCCCAGACACCACTAAACTACTCATACACTCCCTGATTATCTCACGCCTTGACTACTGTAACTCCCTCCTCACCGGCCTACCCCAGTGCAAACTCTCCCCGCTTCAGACCATCCTGAACTCAGCTGCCAGACTCATCCACCTCACCAGCCGCTCCACCTCTGCCACCCCCCTCTGCCTCTCCCTCCACTGGCTCCCATTGCCCAACGCATTAAATTCAAACTACTCACTCTGACCTATAAGGCCATTCACAACACTGCCCCTAACTACCTCACCGACCTGATTCCCAGGTACCACCCTACCCGTACCCTTCGCTCTTCACAGGACCTCCTTCTATCTTGCTCCCTGGTCTCCTCCTCCCACGCACGACTGCAAGACTTCTCCAGGTCCTCCCCCATCCTCTGGAACTCACTACCCCAATCTATCAGACTGTCACCTTCCCTCCTCACCTTCAGGCGCTCCCTGAAAACCCACCTCTTCAGGGAAGCCTACCCCACCCTCACCTAACAGCCGCTGCCCTTCCCTCCTCCTACCACTCCATCCCCCACAGCCATTTCCTCCTGTACCTCTACCCCCTCCCTCCTAGATTGTAAGCTCGAAAGAGTAGGGCCCTCTTACCTCTTGTGTGCTGTTTGATGTTACTGTACTGTTTCATGTATTGTCCCCCCCCTCTATTGTACAGCGCTGAGCAAACCCTTTGGCGCTATATAAACTCGATAAATAAATAAATTAATTAATACCCGGCGGTATTTAACCATTCAATCCAAAACACTTCTTTTTGCAATATGCGTTTATCCCAGTTACCCCCTCTGGGATCCTTGGGAATTACTTCCAGTTCTATAAATGAAACCATAGTGTTGTTAAATCTGTGGTAAAGGTCTAGGTGCCTACTAACTGGGGTAATCATTTTGCCATTGGCAGAGTGGTAGATATGGTCATTCAATCTAGACCGTAACTTCCTGATAGTCTTGCCAACATAGAATGCCCCACATTTGCAGGTCATGAGATATACAACACTGTCCGTGTTGCAATTCGCACAGAATCTAGGACAGAAGGTCTCCACATTAGGTAAGGTAAATATTGTGTCAGACTTAATCCAAGGACATAGATTACATTGGTTGCATTTAAACATCCCTGCAGAGTGGGCTTGAGTATATGTTGGGTAATGACTCTTAGCGAGTTTGTCGCGTAGAGACGTGGCTTTCCTAAATACAATTTCAGGGTAATTACTGATGTATTTTTCTTCACAGTGGAGTACTCTAACACCAAATGCCATTGGTTTTGTAAAACCTCATGTAGGGCCTGGAGATGACACGAGAATTTGGTAATAAATGTTACCCCTTGTTGAGAAGTACCACGCCTGGTGGATCAAGACAGAAGAGAAGTTCTTGATTGTCCCAAAGATCTAGTGCATGCTTTGCGTAAGAGTGATTTGGAATATCCTCTTAGCAAAAGACTGTATTGTGCATACAGAATACTCCGTACTAAGGCAAGAGACTGGGCATTGGTAGCATGCATGATTGTATTGCCAGCTGTTTTTTTCCGCTAAAGAGTAGTAGCTAAACAATTATTCTGATCTTTGTAGATCTGTAAATCCAAAAACATAATAGTGGACTCATGATAGTTGAATGTAGATTTTAAATTAAAGTGATTATCATTTAACTTGTCCACAAACATTTTAGTGATTCGACAGCGTCTGTCTAGATAAAGAGATACCGTCAATATATCTATACCAACATAATGCGTGATCAAGATAATTGCCCATAGCTTCATTGGAAAAGAGATCCAGTTCCCACCCCTCAAATACAGATTGATATAGGCCAGGGCAGAGCAAGTGCCCATGGCCACATCCTGCACCTGGAGGTATTGGGACCCTTTGAAAAGAAACCAATTGTGTGTCAAAATAAAAAACAAAAGTCTCAATAGGAACTCATTGAATTCCCATTTGGTATAGGAACGTCAGTACAGTTCTTATGCCCTGCTCGTGAGGGATGGTAGAGTACAAAGCCTCCACATCTAAAGTCACCAGCAGGGCATCGGAAGGTACAGACATTCCCTCAATGTGTTTAAAAAAATCAAGAGTATCCTTGATGTATGATGATAGTTGCACAACATGGGGCATTAGGAAGAAATAAATGAACCTACTGGCATTTTCGGTCAGAGAGCCTATCCCCGAAACAATAGGTCGTCCTGGTGGGGTCATGGATTTTTGTGAACTTTAGGTAACGCATAAAACATAGGTTCACGAGTATGTATTGGAATGAGAAAATCATAGGTATCTTTATTAATCAATGCCTCCAAATAGGCAGCATTGATTAGATCTTTGTAATCCAGATTGAATTGGCCCACAAATCTGCCCGAAATGGGACAGTGCCAGTCTGTTGCGTAATATATCATTGCACATTTTTTCATATTGCAATTTTGTCATCAAAACAATGTTACCTCTTTTGTCAGAGGGCTTAATAATTAAATCATAATGGTTCTGAAGTCTAACAATGGTTTCTTGTTGTCTATTGTTAAGGATCCTCATAGTAGGTGCTAAACTAAACTCATGCGTTTGATGTCCCTTATAGTAGTTGTTAGAAAGGCCCAAATATTGGTATTAATCATTAAGTCTGGGAAATTTGAGATTTACATTTGAATTTTTTAATTAAGTTTCTCCTGAGTTTCACAGCTCACAATGGTATTATCGTGAATACCATCATTCTCCTTCAACAATAACATCAGGTCATCCATAGTAAAGTGCTTGATACGTTCAGTAGGTTCTTTGTTCTGTCTCAACCTTTGTCTATCAGGGTCAAACAAGAATTTGAAAGTAAGATTCCTGATAAATAAAGATCTTTAATTGTTTCATAACGATCCAATTGAGTTATAGGACAGAAACTGAGGCCATATTTGTGAACCTCTAATTCATACCTAGTGAGGTAATAAGGAGTGAGATTGATAACACTCAGTTCAGAATCAGTGGTAATCCCAAAAGAGGTGGATGTGTTGGAGGCTGTGAATTGTTGTGTGTTAAATAGGGATCCAAAGTTGCTTGTCTCATAAACATTTGTGGAGGAATTACCGGTGAAAAAAATGGTCTTTGATTGAGTGGAAGAAATTGGTGGTTATGAATTAACAGTGTACGAAGAAGGTGTCACAGGAATGGCCATCCTAGAAGTGTTCGAAATGGGTTGTGAATTGGGAATGCCAGTTTCTGAATTAATGATTTGCAAGGCTTGTGTAGCCATCTAACCTAGGTGATTACTGCGTGTTTCGATGCCAGTGTAAGGGTTTCTATTGCTTGTAGCAGCTTGAGCACCTGGAACATGAGATGTATCTGGGGCAAACTGTTGAAATTGATGGTAGCATCTTTCAGGAGTGTGTGAAGGACCATACCCACCACCATAATAGTTTCTTTTATGTGGACCAAGAAAGGTAGTATATGGTTCATGCGTATGATTATTCTGCGGTGGTTGTTGAATAGAGGAAGAATCTGCCTCAGTACCCTCATTGACATTTGTATTCCCATTAAAGAACAAATTGGGATTTCCTTGTTTCGGTAGTCCACGATTATATGTTGGATTGGCCTAGCGATAGGCATAGCCTTCCATAAAGGCCAAATGGTCCTTAGAGAGTTTTTTCTGCTTTTTAACCTCCTGGCCCTTTAAGGGGTTTCAGATGCCGGGAGGCCGGGCGGGGTTTTAGGGTCATGTGACCGTCGTGATTCGCTGTCATGGCGGTCACATGATTGAAAAAGATCCCGATCGCAAGGGGAGATCGGGACCTTTCCGTGAGACACCGACATATGTGCTGGGAGCACTCAGGGTGTGCGCTCTCAGCACATATGTGTTTTCAAATGGTACGCAAATATGCGACCGTTAGGCGTCAAGGCCACATATTTGCATACGGTTGGCATCAAGGGGTAAAAGATAACTTCTTTGTTAATCTTGGCTACATAGTCTTTAACTTCCTGATATTTGTCCTCATACTGTACATGGTTCTTCACCGATTCATATTTATTGTTGAGTAATATTAATTCTTGGTCAAGTAAATTCATATCAGTTTGATACTGTCCCACCAAGAGCCTCATCAGGTATACACTGCATTAAGTGAAGGACCGATCCCAAGAGGTCTTGAAATCTGGGGTAGCATTTTTAATGGTAGGGAAGACTTGTATTCTCAAACCTGTAGGACTAATGTTCTCTTTGATGTATTGTTGGAAAAATTCCAAATGCCAATATAAGTTGGATTTTTTTTTTAATTGGTTTTGACGATATGATTATATGATAATGATTCTGGAACATATCTAATGGTCATATTTGCTCTATTTGATTTTGTGATGCACATCTGCATGGGGGTTTGCAGGGTAGGCATTTGGACCCTGTGTGGAGGGCCTGGTGATCGATGTCACTGCAGTTGGAGTCCCTGTTGTTCCATGCGGGGGCTTGGCCGCGATGTTCCATGGGAGTCACCTGCCTCCAACAGTGGTTGTTCAATATGGCTGCTGGGTGTCACCAGCTTATGCTAGTGGTTAGCGGTTCATGGTGGCATGGTGGTGGCATTTTGGACTCCTAGGTGATCCAGAACGCGCCCTCCTGCGCACCCCCACAGGTGCGAACCTGGCGATCTCCGCGACCGCTGTGTCCTACACACAGCTGATCACGTGATGAGGTAAAAAGCCAATCACAGCTGCCTTTTACCACATGATCAGCTGTGTCCAATGACACAGCAGATCACAGGGTAAATACATTTGCTGGTTATTGGTAGCACTTTCCTCACACTCTCACAGCGTGAGGAAAGTACTGCCAATAACCAGCAGCTGTCACAGAGGAGATCGGCACTGAACATCAGGGCACTGATGATCAGTGCCCTGATGATCAGTGCTCTGCAGTGCCACCCAGCAGTGCCCCCCACCAGTGCCACCCATCAGTGCCCAGCAGTGCCACCCATCAGTGCCCCCATCAGTGCAACCCAGCAGTGCCACCTAGCAGTGCCGCCTAACAGTGCCAGCAGTGCCACCAGTCAGTGCTGCCAGTCAGGGCTGTCAGTCAGTGTTGTCAGTCAGCACTGCCCATCAGTGTCACGCATCAGTGCCACCTATCAGTTCCGCCGGTCAGTGCCGCATCATCAGTGCCGCCTCATCAGTGTAGCCTATCAGTGCCCAGCAGTGCTACCTATCCATGCCACCTCATCAGTGCCCATCAGTGCTGCCTATCAGTGCAGCCTCATCAACGCACATAAGTGAAGGAAACAAAGAAAAACTTTTTTTTTTTAATGTTTGCTGCTTTTTTGCTTATAGCACAAAAAAATAAAACACCCAGTGGCGCTTAAATACCACCAAAAGAAAGCTCTATTTGTGTGGAAAAAAATGATAGAAATTTCATATGGGTACAATGTTGTATGATTGCGCAATTGTCATTCAAAGTGCGACAGCGCTGAAAGCTGAAAATTGGCCTGGGCACGAAGGGGGTATAAGTGCCCAGTAGGCAAGTGGTTATTTCATAGTGGTACCAATCATTTAGGAGGGCCTTACTATACTATTCTCAATCATCATACACCTTTTCACGCACCAGGTACTGTCATAGGGCAGGTGATTTGATCCCCTCATCAACTGGCCCCTCATGGTGTTATCAGACGCTTCCCTCCGTCACCTCTATGCAGATGTATGTATTTTGTTCCATTACCATTTGTTTTGATATGTGTACATTAAGTATTGTACATAAGATGGTTGTTTTTATCAATACAATTTTTATATATCTTTTCACAGAGAAGTCTTCTTATAGCTCCTAAAGAAGCAATATCATCACAAAACATGTTGAACCATTACTATTATCATCTAAAGAGTACCCCCTCTTAGTTATTGCCAAGTTGTGGCATATCTTTGGTATTGTGGGAGTTACTAGTAATATATGAATCTGCATTGATTATATATTGTTGTATATTACAGGGTCAGAATATATTCTGTAACAATTTTTTTATATATGTATGTACTATTTATGTTGTGCATGTTCAATAAAGTGTTACATTATATGAACCATTGTTTGTAGTGTCTGTAAAGTCCATAAGGTTCTTTATTTTCAATTATAAAGGGTTGATTCAGGCTGCAGACAGAAACATTATTATTAATATAATACAGGATTTATATAGCGCCAACAGTTTGTGCAGTGCTTTACAATATCAGGGAGACAGCACAATTACAATACATTTCAGTACAGAAGGAACATGAGAGCCCTGCTTGTAGAGCTTACAATCTAAAGGATGGTTGATAAACAGGTTAGGGGCAGTACAGGTGGCAGGTGGATACAAACGCCAAAGCTGTAATCAAATATCTTGGTTGATACAAGTTAATTCAAGAAGATCTACCTAATTTAAAGATGGAAATTATTTTTGCATGGACTATTTGAACAAATTATGTAGATAACAAGTTTGAACCCTGATTTTTTTGAGAATTGATAAACTTGTGTTGACTCAAGGTATGTTGACACATTCATTTTTTTTTTTTTTTGAAAGATGGTGTCATCTTCCAAACCAGCACATGGTGTACTGGCCAATGCTGTCGCCTATAACGACCAGACTGACTACACAGGGGATCTGTTTGTTGTTTATTGTATAATCTTGCTATATTGTTGTTTTAAGATACATCCAGATGAGTTATTATATTATGTGTTGCTTGTATCAGGTAAAATAATTTTTCCACCAGACATTGCAGAATTTACCTAGTGAGCAGCTGCTGCAATATATTCATTAGCCCTTTCCTTGTTGATTAGAGCAGCTCCTTGTTTGGTGAGGTTCAGTCACTGAAAATATGTTCCATCCTGGCTTTGTGTGGTAAAATTAGTAATGGTGATTTTTCACCTCCTTTCAGTGTGTAGCCAGGTGCTAGGCTACAACAATATGCAGAAGGAGACATTGCCTTTTATTCTTCTCTTCCTCTACTGAGATACTTATGTTTTGCTGCACCATTCTCCTCCAGCCAGTAGGGGGAGTTCTAAAGCCAAACAAGCCCATAGACATCTATGCATAGCACTGAGAATCCTGGGAGTGTTAGTTTGGCAGGCATATAATGGGACCATACATATAACCACCAAACTGAGCACTACCAGCATACTATATCTCAAAAATAATACTACAATGTGTAATATCCCTGCACCCTCCAATTCAATATACCCAAAATATGCAACACAATATTGCAATAAGAAAAGTGCCATGAACACAAAACATGTGTGATATAAAATAAAAACCACTGTAAAAGTTAATTTGACCAGGTGTATGACAAAATAAATATTAGTCCATCCTGCAACAGTTCTAAATAAACTCTTCTTAAAAAAGTTGAGTTTCTCCACTGTGAAAAGAAAAAGTGCTCCGCCACTCTCTCTGCTCCCCCAACAGAGTAGGGCTCACTGAACAATTATGCCTCTCTTTTTACAGATTGGCATAGCACGCTTATACAGATGACTTCCATCTAACATGGAAAGAACATAGTAACATACTAACATAGTAAGAAAGAAAAAGGGACTTCAATAGTGTAAAAACAATTTTACTAAATTGCACTTTATTAGTATTAAAAACACACTGACAAGAAGGTTAAAGAATCCAGGATTACTAAAGTGCCTGCATGATGTATTGTGCCAGAAGGAACATTAAACCATGGCCTCCATGGTCACTGTCTCACCCGATATCAGCTGCGTCACTTTCCATACATCTCTTCTGGCGCCACCGCTGACGTTACATCCAGTTGCATGTCTCATCAGGTATTCTTTTCCACTTCGGCTTGCAGTTGGTAGGTGTCCCCTATTCCATAACTGATACAGTATATATTATGAGGAAAACCAAAAGGCTGATGAGTGATACATGCAAACATATGCTTAGTTAGTTAGTTTGCACTTGTATATAGCTTAGCTAGTTTATCAGTCTAGACAGTTAGGCAGCTGTTCACATTTTTCACATGTGTTCAGTGGTGTTTGTGTTAGGTTGCTGTGTTTATGTTGTTTGTTTTCAGTCCAGTTCTTTCTTTCGAGTTCTACTTATCTAGTTGCACCGTCTTTGTAGAATACCAGCACATGGGTTCCTAATAACACTAAGAGGGCAATTTTATTAACTGCCTTTTTAAAGGGGGCTTGAGGAAACATTCCATTATACATAAAAAGGAGGGCAACTTTACTGACCAAAAACGTAAAAAGGTGGTTTCCACTGACCGCCAATGTAACAGGAATACTATAAGAAAATATGAGCATATAAAGGGGGCAATATATGAGCATATAAAGCCACCAACAGAACTGGTTGCTTAGGGGTTATTTAATATCTGCATTTTTCTCCTTTCTTTTAATAGGGGATAATAAACCATTGCTTTCTTATACAGTATATTTTCCATGGCCAGTTATTTACTTTTTTCTATGCATTTAGAGTAATTTATCAAAGTGCTCCAAACTTTAAATAAAGTAGTTTCTTTTAAAAGGAGATTCAAGAACACACATTTAGTTATCTTTTACAGCAATGATGAATGAGTTATGTCTTTGACTTTTCTTTATGTCTTTGAACCAGTAAAACTCAGAGGAAAGCAGCACAACAATGGGGAAAATTCACAGCCGGTCAAAGAAAGTATTGTTGCATTGAACTTTCAGAACTGATGTTTAATTATTGTTTTCACCATAGAAAAATGTACCTTTTATAACATTTATCATCACAATAAATCAAGGTTATGTGATTTGCAGGATTCAGTATATCTTGTAACTAAATGTAACACACAATGTGAATAGTAGAAATAGTGGGTACCATAAAGCAGTAGTCAAGATACCCCACCTTTCAAGACAAAAAATAGAAGGACCATGAGATATTCCAGGCATCCCCACTAGGGATCAAAACCACCATGCTCTGAACACCAACGAGCCAGCAACAAAGCTCAGCAACACTTTCAATATTACAATACTACAGTTTTCAGTTTACCAGTTATACCTATTCAAACTCTGACTGAATCTCCTTTAGTTGTGCAAATCTTTTTTATCTCCAGGACAGCAATCTGGATAACACCACCCTTGCATCTTCATATATTTCAACTGTACTGGGTCAGTCATGGACACATTGCCATATGGTATGACAAAAAAACATGGTGGCAGCCGGGTATCCAAGAACTATTATAATTTCCTTATACTGCTCATGGCCTTTGCAGCCGGTACACATACTGCTGTCAACTTGCTGAGGCCTGACTGTCCAGTCCAGAACTGTGTCACTGTTGCAGTATCTTGGCTGATAACAAAGAATGGGCACTAGGCCTCCATTGCACACATTGGAGATGTATATTCCACACATATTCCCTCCCCACATGGAGGCTACCCTGATTCTTCCAGGTTTACAACTTCTCATTGCCATGTACTAATTTTCATGAGGTACTGTTGCTTTACTGCCATTGGACTTTCACCCCCCTGTGTTGCATGGGAAAATGCAAACTCAAATGTTTCACAGAGGTTGGATGGGATGGCTATTGGAGTAAATTTCCGTGCCCTTATTTGGTGCTTTCCCTTTACACATCCCTCTAACTGCCTTACTGCTATTTGTCATTTGATACAACCGCTGTGAGGCAGCCCTGGGGGGGATTACATCTAATATTAACTTTGACTTTGCAATATACTCATGTTTATATGATGTATGCTGTACCAGTCCAGATGCCAACTGAAAACGGTTCCATCTCTTACTTATCCTTTTGCTTTATGTGGGTGTTAGGCAGCCTTCTAGCTTCTGCCAGCTGCAAGTTAACAAGTCTTCTCAGACTCCAAGCTGCTCCCATCAACTGTAGGCTAACAAGTCTAGGCAATTTTCCAGCTACTCCCAGCATTTACTGACTGCTGCCTTGTACTTTCATTGTCATGGTAATGAGTCTGGCCACTGGCCCCCTAGCTAGCTTAGTTCTTGGCACAGGAGCTAAATCATTTATGCATCATCAGCCTGTACTTCTGTGCTGATAGTGTTCCTGCTTCCTGGCTTCCTACCTGAACCTCTGCTAGTCTGAAGTCCCTGACCCATCCCTACCTGTCTTGACCTTGGACTGTTTACTGGACTACGTTTATCACCCTGACCTTGAACTGTGGCATGTACTCTCTGCAGGCACTGCTGATCCTTTCTACAGCTAATTTGCACATACTTCTCCATGATAATGGCAATCATCAGGGCCTTAATACAGAAAAGTGTTTCTACATCTAGTTGGATTTGAAAGCTCTGTCA